AGCCGATTTTAATGATAGGCCTAATTAGGTTAAATCTGTTTTTTATGGCTAAGCCGAATTCGTCTTAGGCGTTTATAACTGATAACGCAACACTAGATTAGGTCACAATATAACACTTAGAATTTTTAATATAAAATTGTAAATTATGAGAATTTCCTTGAGATACCTCTTTGTTAGATTTTTAAGATGGAAAAATGGCAAGATCTTTGTATTAGTAATGTAACTGTATTTTTAACTTTTGACCAACTCCACTGATTACAATAATCTCTATTGTGCCTATGAATATATTTTAACATGATAATTTACGCAGTGAATTGTAAAAGAACATTTAGTAAATTTATAGTCTTAGGGCTAGTAAAGGTTAAATTTGAGCTAATTTTCAAAAAGGTAGCCAGGAATATATATTACAAACCTCAAGATTTCGCTAATAGAAATTAAAATCTTTTACCATCCATGGGCAAAATCCTAAGGCTTGAATAATATTTTTTTACCTAAAATATTAAATTAGCCGTTTTCAAAAAACGACTCAAATCGATCTGTTTTATGAGAAAATATGAGATACAATAAATTCTATTGATTTCCTCTGAAAGAGAATGTTGATGCAAATTTAACTTGATTCGTTTACCATGCAATTCTTAAAAAGTGTATAACACATTGTTTAGATATGTCTTGTTCAAAAAATAAGAAATAATAAAAACAAGGTGTAATTGGAATAAACCCGCCATCGATAGAATTTTAAAATTTTATAAACCTTTAAAAAAATATTTCTTAAACAAAGATTATAAAAGCTGTCCTAATATTTTGAAAATTTTTTTCAATAATGAATGGCAAAGGTATATTTAGGAATGATTTTACATGTAGGAAATCTACTACATGCTGTTAATGTGTAATTGCAATAAGAAGAATCTTAACAAAGATTCACTAAATTATGCTGCAGATGTGTTCATCTTTACAGTTAAAAATTGACAATAAATTTTATGGCGCTATTGCTAAAACTTAATTATATTTTATTTGAGATTAAATAATAGAACTGAATGTTTACCGTCGTTATTGAGATATTTATAAAATTCCTGGCATGACATATTATATATTTGTTTAACCATTCGCTCGGCCTCTAATGTTGTAAAAGCAATCCGATTTCTCTCCTTTTTCCAGGCAGTCCTCATCAGGCTAAAAATGCGCTTGGATGAGGCATTAGAATGAGGTAAGGAGAAGACATACTCGCATATTTTTTCCAATCATGGGGATTTATCGTTATTACGAAAATATTCTACCCATTTCTCCTCTAGACCATCTAACTTTAAAGTATTTTGGCGAATCATAAAAAATAGAGAGAATTACAATCCTCAAACAAGAAATCAATGTCTTTTGGTATTTTTAATATATTTATTAAATTATAATAACCATCAATTGATGGTTTCTGTTCCAAGGTCATAATATTTATACATTTGTAAATAGAGTTATTAAAATCAAATTTTGATTGTAAATATTCTAAAATTGTCTTAATAAAAATATCTGCTTCATTTAAAAATGTATTAATTAGAGTCTTATTTGAACATTTTATTATAATATTTTTAGCAATAGCGCCATAAAATTTATTATCAATTTTTAACTGTATAGATGAACAGAGCTGTAGCATGATTTTGTGAATCTTTTCTATAAAGAATATTCTGATTGCAACTGAATATTAAATGCATGAAGTAGATCTCCTACATGTGAAACGAATCCCAAATATGCTTCTGCCATTTCATACTCGAAATTTTTTTAAAATATTTTAGGGCAGCTTTTAAAATCTTTATTTAAGAAGTATTTTTTTAAGGGTTTGTAAAATTTTAAAAACTTTTTATACATTAACTTTTTTATTTGATGACTAAATTCGTTAAAACATTTCATCACAATTATTTCGACATCCACAGATAGTACATTTATTGCCTTCTTTCAAGAATTATGTAGTATATGGCATATAAAGCCAATTGGTATTAATTCATTATTGTGCTGCCTCAATCCTGTAACTTTGGTTTTTGCCTAAATTTACAGAGGTATTATCAGCGCAGAAAGCTGACATGCTAATCATTGATAACCCTGAATCAGCTATATTTACCATTATGTGGCTTGCTACATTGTTGGATTTTTCACTATCCGAGGAATAAATTTTAACAGTTTTATTGAAATGTTCTTATTCTTGTTGAAATAGCGAACGATCAAGGGAAATGTTTTAATATTTCCCTTATTAGTTGCATCTGTTAGAATTTCATATGGGTGCCCATCTTTCAAATCGTCTAGAATTGACCTCTAGGATTCAGGTACTAAAACACTTGTGATAGCCTTGCTCATTTTTGTTCTGCCACAAGTAAGGTTTGCACTTATATTGGAGTCGTTAAATATCATGAGAAAAAGATTCGACCCACATTATGATGATATAGCTCTGTGAATGTTGAACTACATGAGAGATGTATACGATTTCCACAAATGTAGTTGCATCTGTATTATTTATTATTTGGGAATATTTTTGTATTGCAATCGATGTTAATATACTCCCCTGTACTGACTTATATGAACGAAATGATGTTGATTTATTATTGGATAAAAATAAAATAGGATAGAAAGAAATTTACAAACTGACATGTTTTTCGAATAAATATTTAAAATTATTTTGGAAATATAAAAATAATCAATTAATGTCTCTCAAAATTATTATTTATATATTAAAAATGTTAAAATACTAAAAAAAAATTGCGGTAGATTTTTGCGTGAGATTTGCTATTGTGGTAGTTTTGCGGGAGAGAAATGTCTGCGTGCAAACTAAAAAATTGCTGGAGTCTCCCGCTGATAGGGGAAGACATGGCAACCCTGTCTACTTACTTTTTATGAATAAATCTCTTAAACTTATTTGGATTTGGACCTTGAAAATAATTTTAGAAAGAGACATGCATATGATAATTAAATTTAAAAATCATTAATATAGTTGATTAGTGATGTTAAAATCGGCTTATTACAATTAAATTTGTTAATTTTCAATTAATAAATGATTATATTAATTTAATTAAGGTTATATAATAATTTAAATAATAAAAGTCAATTATGATTCTGCTAAATAAGTAAATTATATATAATAATATAAACTATATGTCTACTTACTTTTTATAAATAAATCTCTTAAACTTATTTGGATTCGGGCCATTGTCCTACATATTCCACTAAATATATGTCTTTAACATCATGATTAGGGTTTTCAATAAAATAAATTTTTAAAATGCGGCGTTTATACTCTTTACTTCTCTTTAAAATACTATAGTATTTATAAAGAACAATAATATTTTTGGTTAAAGGTTGAGGTTCTATTTTTTTAAAAATTCTAGAACCACCTAGGCGAGTGTCCTGCCTAAATAGGCCATCTTTAAAAATATATGGACTTTGAACATTATCGTTATATATATTATAATATAATTTTTTTGAGCTTGATTTTGAACCCGTCCATGGTCCACAATCATCTATTAATAAATGATTTATTATGTGGTTAACCGAGCCACATTTCCCAATCGAGCGATATTTACTAGCCGAGCGATATTTAGTAATAAATGATTTATTATTTAGTTAGCCGAGCGATATTTTCTAGCCGAGCGATAAATAGACCCACCCGTATTCATTTAATAAAAATTTAGATAGTCTTATTAATTTTTAAATAATAAAATTAAATCTATATATAACTCAGTAGAATTATGAAAGAAAATGTTCAGGGAGCAATTAAAAAATTTATTTTTAGTTCAAGGGGATATTAAGGAGTCATTAAAAAAATTTTTTTGCTTCAGGGGGCTTTTCAAATTTTTCAGGGGCTCGAGCCCCTGCGCCCCCTAGCGACGCCACTGGTCTGGGTTTTACAAAACTAACCACTTGACAACAGTAGTACTAAGTGCCTTTTTTATATAATTAACTATCAAAATCATTAAATTCTAAATCAGAGCTTAAAGTTTAATTTTAGAATATACATCTTCCGATATGTTTTTTAGAAGTAAAGCAACCTTATCAGCATCTGATAATGTTATATTATTTAAAAAATATATATATTTCTTTCAATATATAGGTCACACTATATTTTCCTTATAAAATTTAATAAAAAAATTACCTGATTTTATGATTTTTTTCTCCATTTATTTAATTAATAAGAAATAGTGTATTGTAGCATGAATTTATATATTTTTTAAATTTTAACAAAGGCACATGATATTTGTAGGAATTTATTCTCGTCATAATTATAAAAACTTCCGTCAAGTAATTTATAATATTTTAGCATCTCCATAAGGTATGAAAGCATAAAAACGTACCCACAATTCGCAAGTCTGTAGTACTCAATATACTGAGTTCCTAGTGTCGAAAGGCAATTGACATATATAAATGGTCGATGGTATATTTAATATTTTAAAAACAAACATATTTTATAATACAACATTTTTTTACATTTATATATATTGGATACTATGACCATTTTATTTTATATACTGGATCATGTTATTTACCTTTTATATATTTTAAGTTAATATGTATATATATATTTTTTATATCATAAAATATTTTTCTTTTTTCTTTTCCCACCGTAATAAATTACGGAAATATAAGTTAAGAAATAAGAAAAGTTGAATTGAATATTCAAATCGTATAAAATAAGGTTAAATTTAAATATAAAATTTAATGACTTAGTATGAATATCCCTAATATATAATACCATTTTATAGATTTTTAATCATTTTAAAAATTTTAAAAATTTTCCTTATTTTGTCATATAGTTTTTATATATTGCTATTTTAAATTATTATGTTTTTTATATAATTTTTTTGATGTTAGACTTTTTAAATAAAAATCGAATTTATTATTAAAATTTTAACAAATTTATATTTAAAATTTTATCAAATTTATATTATATAGATACTTTATAGTTAAAATTAATAATATAGACCTGGGAATTAATTAAATAATGTATAATTATAACATATTATTACTAAATCATTTTTGCAACGATAATCTTGTCTGTAAAATTAAAATTTTTTAAATCCCACATGAGTTTTTCAAAGCAAAATTTATCCCAATTGGTAATCTTAAATTAATCAAAATATATGATAATATGATTTATAGGATGTTTCTAAATTATCACCCCTTACGCCTGAAGTTATTAGCAAACAAGCAACCATAAATATTGGTTTTTTTTAATCAAGACAAAATTATCTTTACAATTTTTATATGTAGGTACTATTGGACATGTAGCACATGGAAAATCAACCGTTGTTAAAGCTCTATCTGGTGTACAGGTAACCTTTTTTTTAAATATATTTAATTGAATTGACCAAAATGAAAATTTATATATATTTTTTAATATAGTATATATAAATGAGTATATATATATGTATATTTATATAAAGACTGTTAGATTTAAAAATGAATTGGAAAGAAACATTACTATCAAACTAGGATATGCAAATGCTAAGGTTATTATTATTTTATTTGATATATAATAATATATATAAATTGTAATTTAACAAAAATCGAGGATAATTACCCCCTCCATGTTTACCCCATTAAAAAGCATTTATATAGAATAAGTGATATTTACCCATGTGGTGATAATATTTGTCCCCTTAGTAAATAAATAGCATTTTTAAATGATAAATAAGTGATACCTTATGGTAAATAGAATAAATATAGAAAAAACAATATTAACCACCTTATTGAGTAAATAGAATCAGTATAGAAAAAAAAAATGGAAATAATTCAATTTTTATATTATGCAAAATTTTTATCAACAAATATTTTTATGAGTCTTAAAATTAAGCATTTCTTTTTCCAAAGATCAATATTTTAATCCTGGCTTGGATTTGTAATAAATTAATAAAAAAAAATTATAGATGAGCAAATAAAGACCCTAATGAATAATTTTAGTATATCTATAAACTAGAGATCTGTGAATTCCTGCTAGCCAGAATGAGCTGGGCCTTATTTAAAATTAGACTACACCATATTTTAAAACAAAAATTACCCAGGCTGGGTTTGGCTTAAATTTTTAAATATAATATCACTCAATTTTGTGGAATAAATTGATATATTTTAATATTTTTACAAGAAACAAGACACACCAATATTACAATTAAAAAATATTAAATTTTTTTATATTAAATATATTTGGGCCAAGCCAAGTGGGCAAATAATTTTTTTTAATTTTAAGTCTTCTAAACTAATAAAAAAACTTTTCAGGATTGGGCCAGGCAAATATGTTAAAAAATTTTTAGACCAGCTTGAAAAATTAAACCTGATACAGATCACTAATATAAATTAATTCCTTTTATGAGGTTTTTTAAATTCTACATTTAACAGATATAAATTTGAAAGTTTATTTTTGCTGTTACTCGTAGCCTACTTTTAAACAATATATTTTATGTGTCTTTATATTCAAACATTTGCTAATATATTATAGTCCAATATATTAAACTTAACTAATAAAGTAATATATCAAATTTATATTTTGACATTTTTTTTATTTGATAAAAAACAATTAAATCAAATATACATTTTGGCATTTATTTTTATTATATAAAATAACATAATAATTATTTTTTAAAAATAGTGGAAAATAATATCATAAATGTCAAATGTATATCAAAACACAAAATATAAATATTATGAATTTTGCCATGTACTACAAAACCAAAATTTAAAGCAATTTTTATTAATATTTTGGCTATGAGAATGATATCAGTTTAGACAATTATCACATAAAAGTAAACTGCTTTCTATTTACATTTGGCAATCCTTGCAATTTATCGGTTTAATTTCCATGTATGAATATGCTTTATTTGTAATGTAGGGAGTAATTAAATGAATATCAATACATACATTATTTTAACATTGCACATCTATTGTAGTAAAAAATAAGATATCCTCGTTTAAAATATCATCTATATTATGTATTTTGTACAGTTAAGTTCAATAATTTTTTTAAAATATCAATATAGCTTGCTCTTCTTTAAGCAGTGCTGAAAATGGTTTTATACTATCAGAAATGTGTTTTAATTCATACAGCATTTTCTTTTCTAAATTAAAATTGAAAATATTTTATCAAGATTCTGTATTGATTCCGTAGCTAATAGCAGAGGGATAAAGTAAGCATGAGAATGTAGTGTCTTTTTAGTAGTAATGGAAATATAGAAATCTTTTGTATTGTATTTTTAGTAGTAATAGAATTCTCGCTTTTATTTCTTTTATTTCATATCAAAATAATAAATAATATTTTTTTATTCAAATTCATATGATATATATAATAATGAAAATAAACATTTTACAAAAATAACAAAACAACAATTCAATACCTATCACAATCTATTTGGTTTTGTTTGTATTCTTTTCGGATAACGATTTTCACTTGTATCATCTTCCTCCCTCTCCTTTAGATTCATTTCATCGTTATTGCTTTATTTCCTCTTAGTTTACTCTCTCTTCGGTTCTCTCTTCTACTTCAGATCTCTTTTCTAATTCATATTCTTCAGTTAATATATTTTCGTTCCTTAATTGATCAGTATGACGTATAATCGTTTTACCCTCTATACTTACTTCATATCGTAGTGATCCGAGTATGCTTTTAATAATGGCTTTTTTCCATTTTTTTTCACTTTTTCATTTATCTCGAATTTTTGAGTATAGTATTCTAACTTCTCCTTTTTGTTCCCCCGTTCGAATATTTGGTCTAACAATGCTCTAGGTTTAATTTTTAGTAGTATTTCAGCGGAACTTTGTTCAGTTTCTGCCCCTGGTGCATTTCTATAATTGTAGAGAAAAATAGCTAGACTGGTTTCTAAATCCCTTTCGTCTCTTTTATTCATGCTCTGTTTAAAAGTTCGAACTAAACGTTCGGCCATGCCGTTTGTCTGTGGATGGTAAGAACTTCCGTGCACTAATTGTATTCCATTTTTTTCGCTGAAATCATTGAATTCTTTGCTGCTGAATTGTGGTCCGTTATCAAAACGATTATCTTAGGAAATCCAAATCTGGCAAAAATATTTTAAATATTTTTAACGTGTTTTCGGTTGTATTACTGATCATGGGAACTATTGGCCAGCGACCATCTATCACTACCAACCAATCATGATTGTTTCTATATCTTGGTTTATATTAGGACACCACGCGTATTGTCTTGCTCTCATCTTTTTTTTACTATTCCAATATGTCTTGATGTATCATATCTAACACGTTGTTTCGGTATTGTTGTGGTATTATCATTTTAGTTCTCCACAAGAAACAATCTCTCTGTTGTAATTTCCTCTCTCCTTTGGCTATACTCCATTAAACATGCATCATAGTTTATTGGCCATCCGTCCGTCTATTGTATATCTGTATACTTAGAGAGTACAGCATCTTGCATTGTTTTTTTTCAATTTCGCTTGCATTTAAAGGTGTTTGTTCTCCCACCTGTATTTGATCTAGTGTTTCTTCTTTTGATATTATGGTTCCCTGTATAGGTAATCGAGATAGCATGTCAGCATTGGCTAGTTATCGACCATTTTTGAATTCTATTTCATATTGGTATAAAAACCCATCTTTGTATTCTGGCAGTAGATGTTATTGATATATCTTTTCTGGATGAAATAAATTCATTAATGGCTTGCGGTCTGTTTGTAATGTGAACTTTTTTCCATATAAATTCTTTGAATTTTGTAACCGCAAATATGATGGCAAGAGCTTCTCTTTCAATTTGTATATAATTTTTCTCAGCTCCATTTAGTGTTCTTGAGGCGAATGCAATTGGTCTCTCCTTACTCCCTTCTATATGTGATATTACTGCCCCAATTCCTATGGCTGACGCATTTGTTGCTAATATAATGGGTAATTTTGGATCATAATTTTGTAATATTGGAGTACTATTTATTTCTTACTTATTTTTTCATACGCGTCTTTGAAATCATTAGTCCATCTCCAAGCAACTGCCTTTTCTAATAATTTGAATAATGGTTTGGCTTTGGCTGTAAAATTTGAAAAAAATTTTGAATAGTATGTTGCTGACCCTAGAAATGACTGTAATTGTTTTAAGTTTGTTGGTTCTGGCAGGCGCGTACGCAGGAATTTGGTCTGGGGGGGATAATAAATTTTTTTGAGAAATATTATTGTTTTTTAAAAATATCAAGCATAAATTTATTAGGACTAATAACTATTCCTAATACACAATTTTAAATTAATGTGAATTATAAAAAAATAATATGTAAAGAATCACTTAAATGACCCAAAATAGAAATTTGAATTTTTTGAGCCTTTACACAAAAAGTTTTTTAGGAATAATTGTATTTTGTATGTTATATATTTACAATGTAAAATCCAATCTTCGTTGGAATTGAGCTAATCTTTCAATTATCTCATCCTTGCTCGTCGTCAAATTCCTATGAATATTCAAAAAATCCAAACCTTTCAATCTACTTTCACATGGTGTACTTCTTGGTATGTTTTTCAGAGACCTGCAGGCCCGCATCCTGGGCCGGACAATATTTTAATTTTTTTAATTATACCAAGGCCGGGCCTAAAATTTTTTTTAAAAAACACCCGGGCCGGACCTAAATTTTTTTAAAAAAACACCCAAGCCGGGCTGTATTTTTTAAAACAGCCTATATTTGAAATCGTTATTATTAGCTAAATCCAGGCCGGGCCTGAAAATTTTATTTTAAAAAAAGCCGGGCCGAGCCTGTAAATTTAAAAATAAAGCCGAGCGGCCTAAAAAATTTTTTAAAAATAGCGTAAAAAATCTTAAAAAAATCCGGGCCGTGCCCTGCTAATAGTACTTCTGCAGGCCTCTGTTATTCTTCTTAAAAAAGAGTGTTCTCTCATTAGTTTACGAATGGGAAGAGTTTATAAACCCTTTTAATACATTGGGAATTTAATCTAAAATGTGTTTGAAATAATGCAGAGCATCCATAGCATTTTTTGGGACTATATCAACTATAGTTAATCTTATAAACATAGTTATTCAGCTAGTAAGGCATCATAAGATACTTTAACATCTTCATAATAAAAATCTAACAAATATTTTTTTTTCTCTCACCATCTGAAAAAGGTTGGTAAGGCTTTTGTGGAAGTAATATTTGCAGATGTTAAGTGCTGCATGATATATTAAAAATTCATTTATTTGGGTTATAAATGTATCTGCATCTAAGATAAACTCTTCTACTGATCCTATATTAATGTTTTAACGATGAGCTTGCCTTGCTGTCGAGGGAGACAAATATTAAACACGTATAGCTCTGCTTTTGACTCAACAATAAAATATAAAATATGAAATTCTTCATCAACATTAGCCCTAATTTCCTTGAGTTCTGATAAAATGCTCAATATGAAATTCTTCATCAACATTAGCCCTAATTTCCTTGAGTTCTGATAAAATGCTTTCCGCTATTCTCATCTTCTTAATCAAATCATTGTCATGTTTTTGAAAAGTAATACTTAAAATAGTTGTATAATTAAATAATACATTTTAATGAGAAATAAAATTTGGAATAAGCATTAAATCCAATAATTTTCTTGCTTCTGAGGAAATATTTCTTTCAGGCCATCGTAATATTTCAGTAATAGCAAATAATTGGCTCTTCTAACTCCTTAATAGCTGTTAGTGCTTGATGGAAGAGGCTCTATCTCGTTGGACAAGGTTGCAATTTCTTTTTCCCTGTTGGACCAGAAGTTTCAGAAATAATTATTATTTGACTAGAAATTTGAAAATGGTAGATAAATATTACGCCACTAAAAATTTGAAAATAATAAGTAAATATTACGCCGGAAAACTTGAAATCGAAATTAATTGATAAAATAACTTATGAATGTGATAATAAATGTAATATAATATATATTTAATATGAGATACGAATAAATATTAATAAATATAAATTAATATAAACAATAATATTTTTGAAAAATATATCCGGCATCTGCATTTTTTGGCTTTGGGGGGGGGGATTTGTCCCCCTGCCACCCACCCCGCTGCGTACGCCAATGGGTTCTGGTGCCTTTTTTTACTGCCTCAGTATTTTTTTCGGTAGTTGTAATTCCGTTTTTTGAAATATTGTGTCCCAAGTACTCGACATTTTGTTTGAAAAATTTACATTTTTCTATTTTTAGCTTGATTCCATTTTCATCTAGACATTTTAGCACCCTTTTTAAATTTGTTTCGTGCTTTTCTCTATTTTTCCCGGTTATTATATTATTATCTAAATAACATGCTACTCCTTCAAAGTCTTTTAATAAATATCGATAGCTCGTTGAAATATAGCTGGAGAAGACGATATACCAAAAGGTAGTCTTTTAAATAATCCTCTATGCGTATTGATTACAAGATATTTTTGAGACTCTTCCCCCACTTTAATTTGAAAATAGGCATCAGAGATCTAATATTAAAAATTCCTCTCCTTTTCCCAAACTGGCTAATAAGTCTTGGATTCTTGGTATTAAGTGTTAATCATCATTAATATTTTGAATTACAGTCCTTTTAAAATCCCCGCAAATTCGTAATGTTTTTTTGAACAATTATTATGGGTGATGCATAAAGTGAATGATTAATTTTTTTAAACTCCTATTTTTAGCAATCTGTCTAAATCTTCTTCAACTTTATCTTAAAATGCGTATTGTACGGGACGTGATTTACATAAAATTGGTTTCTCGTTTTCCATATATATTTGTGCCTTAAAATCTTTCAAGAGCCCAATTCTTTGGTAAATAATTTAGGTTAATTTTGTATATTAATGTTATTTATTTATATGGTCCTTTGAGGTATTTCAGTCATTTTGGGAAATTTAATTATCCAGTTTCATCCAATTAGATTTTTGGTATATCCTTTTGTAATTATGAGAGGTAGTTCTAATGTTCGTCCTTTATATTGTACTTTTACTCTGTCCCAAATTCAGGCACTTACATTGTTGCCAGTGAAAGAGCACAAAATGACTGGTATTTATATAAAAGATTAACAGGAAATAAGGGGATTATCATTGACCTACCGAATCTAAAGTGTAGCGATTCAAATTCACTGATTTTATAAGATCATTTGAAAAGTTATTATATATGGATTTCATATTTACTGAATTTTATTTTAAAACCAAGACCATATAAAAAATTTACTCACCTAACCGAAATTAAAAAAAAAATAAAATCTAGGCCTTTATTTTAAATCCAGTCCTTAATAATTTTTTATTGTTCTATATGCTATTATATCAAGATCTAATACCAAATATAAAATAATAAAATTTGATTTTCACATTCTGGTCCTGAAGTGAAATTATAATTATATAAAAATATATATCAACCAATAATTGGGGAAATACTGGTTCTTACCACAATATTCTCTTCATATTCTGGACTGAGGAGTAATAGAGTTATAAAAATATATTCACCAATAATTCTGGAAATGCAGGTTCTTGCCACAATATCATCTTCTTGATCACAGTCTGGGCTGGAGGAGAAATAATTTTATAAAAATATCATCTATTGATACTTGATGGCACAACAATGAACAATTTCTCAGCAACACATCATTCACTCAATTTTTGAAAATCAAATCACATAAGGTAAATGTGATGCATAGTTTGCCAAGAATGTTAGCATCATAATATATTTATTATACTTATCTTGTTGTGAAAGTGTTTTTTATTGCTATACAAGGTGCTGATAAGACTGTGACGTCGTTAAGAGAAACTGATACTTAAATTCTAAATGGTTATAACAAAATTTTCAACCTTAAAAGGTTTTTATAGATATATCTTAACCATAATTAACTCAATGGCATCGAAATTTTTTTTAGGCATGTTATGAATATTTAAAAGGTGTCACTATTCCCATTCAGTTCACTTATCTGCTGAATCCAGATGTCGAAATCTGTAAGCCACAATTATGGAAGCTGAGAAAATAAATATTTCTAAAATTTTTATTTGGGCAGCACACTTTTAATATCATTGAATGTTGATCAATACTTAACTTGATTTTAATGTTGCCTTTCCTAATAATTATTATTACCATCATGGAAGCTCAAAAAGTGAGATAAAATTTTTCTGATAAGACCATTTTGATTTTTGGCTCTAAAGGAGGGAATATCTGTTGCATTTAAACAAAACATGGGCCTTTCAAACCCATGTTGAAAGTTTTGATTTAAATTATTTTTCATCATCCATATTGGGACAATTTTTGAAATATTAATATTTCTCATTATTAAAAAGGGAAATTAAATTTTTTTTTATAGTTTTAAAAATAAAAATATTTTTCTGATCTTTTAGACAGACCCATGTTAAATTAGCAAATTTATTCTTTTGATTTTTGAAAATAAAAATTGTAAATTTATAATATTTTTAATGATATTTAATTTAAGATGATTCTGTTAAGGAAGATTTTGTTAGGATTTGATAAAAGGCAAAATTTTATAGTGGAAAATGACGACAAAAAATAATATATAAATTTGGGACTTTTAGACCTATGTTAAATATAAATGCTCTTGCAACATAATATTTCTAAATTAGGATTAATAACCATAATTTGAAATAATATAATATTTGTAAACAATATTTTATTCTCACATAATAAAAGATTAATTTATTTTATTATATATCTGTAAGAATTGAATAGAATCTTCCATTAAGTAATAATATCATGATGTATATATTTTATTTTTATAAAAATATCATTTTTATTTTTTATTAACTACTTATATATCTTTTTTTTAACAATAAAAAAAATAACTAATTCTGTGAAAAACAAATTGATATAAAAAAAATGTTAATATAAAATTTTCACTGATTAAATTTAAATTCAAAGTGAATAAAAAAAATGTCACATAAAAATGATATATAAAAAAATGTTAATATATTGACCGAAAGGTATAATCACTATTATTTAACAATATCTATAATTTAATTACTAATCTTTCCATTATCCAAATTAAAACCATTTTTATTATAAAAAAAGATTCATTATATCATCATTATAAATATACACATATCAAAACTTATACGATACAAAAAATATAGATATTTAAATGTGACAATCCATCCTGCCCCAGACCTTCATCTTATTGTTGTTTTGGAAGCAATAAAGAAGATTCCTTTAATTGCACACGCCTAAACTGTGAAGGCAAATTTAGGTTAGTAAGACATGTATCTTTTGTAGACTGTCCAGGTCATGACATCCTGATGGCGACTATGTTAAATGGTGCGGCTGTTATGGATGCTGCTCTTCTACTTATAGGTATATTTTAAAATAAGTATTTCTGATTGTTTAAAATTATAATTATTAACATATTGCCGGCTGCATTTCAAATACAGCTTACCTCATTTTTTCTATAACTTAGAGCCCTATAAATTAATTTTTTGCCCAAGGCTGGACCAATTTTTTAATTTTAGTCGGACCCATAATTTTTTTATTAGTTTATAGCCTAGTCCAGTTTTTTAAATATAATTAGATTTGGCCTAAAATTTTTATGCCTGAGCATTATAGTTGGGTAATTTGTATATTTTTAGCCGTTTAAGCCAATTTTTAGCCTGCTAAAAGATCGGCTAATCCGAGTTGCTAGCTGAATTATCACTTTGGACTTGGGTTTTTCTTAAAAATGTAGTAGCTCAAATTTGCAAGAAACTATGAGTTAAAACGCCTTAATGTTAATGGATTTTCTGATATGCGCCTATAGATTGAGTCGAATTAACCGACATTTGCTATTACCCAACTATACATGATCATGGCCTAAATTTTTATTTTAGCTCGGCTTGGTCAGACACTTTAAATTGAAAAATATATTAAAAAATTTTAAATTTAATTAAAAACGAATTTAAAACAGTTCAATATAAAAAACTTAATGATTATAAAAATATAGCGCATATATATAAAAATTAAAAAAAAAATCATTATGAGATTGGTTAATTTGCATTTGTATATGGAACCATGAATAGCAATGCAATTACTTGGATGTATAGCCATCATAATGGCTTGTTTGTAATAGAAGGCTTTATTACGATCGAATTTTTTAAGCTCGAGCCTGATCTGCAGGGCTCCCCAGATCAGGCTTTTATTCAATCCATTATATTCTTACACAAACATGTCTTTTTTAAAATTAATAATTCAAAAGATTTTCATACTTTTTTTAAATTTTTATTTAAATTACATAGGACATATGATCCAATTAGTGTTGTTAAACGGCTCTATATTTAACGGCTATCCCAATATTTTAGCCAAAAAATATTACACATGCCTGGAGGTTTTGCTCATATATTCCATATTCCAGAGAGGTTTGGACATCCTTTAACGAATATGGGCAAATATCTTAATTTAGAATTTAAGTAAATCGAGCGGTTTAACATCATAGATAAAATAATGCTTTACCTCTTTTTCATCTTATAAATTTTAGTAGTTTAAATTGCTTTCCCTATAACTAAAACGTTCATATATATTATGTTAACCAATTTATCATGATCTTTTTATTTATTTGTAAACGCATGTACACAGCTGGTAACGAATCTTGCCCCCAACCACAAACCTCAGAACATTTAGCTGCCATAGAAATAATGCAACTCAAACACATCATAATCCTGCAAAACAAAATTGATTTGGTCAAAGAGAGTCAAGCCCAAGAACAGTATCAACAAATTATCAAATTTATACAAGGTAATCTTGTTTATAGTTTCACAAAAAGTTTTTTTTAAAGAATAATCTATCAAACTACACATTACTAATTATATCCTACATAAAACAATATTAATTCTATTTAAAAATTTTCTTTAGCTTAATTGGTATGACATTCTGATGTAAAAGGCACCGCTTATATCTTGTTAAATTTCAGATAATTGATAAATTATTTTTTAAATAAGTTATGAGCCAATGTACCACGTCAATCCAACCCATCACGACACTTGATCTACAATCATTTTTATAAAGCTGAAAGAACACAAAATTAAACACTAAATATAAATAAGGCTGTGCCGATCCACAAATTATCATTAAATTTTTTTATTTTCCAATATCACCTGAAATCGATGCGATAACTGGTATTGGTTATTGGATCGACTTTGGCTGAACATCAATAAATATTGGATCGGGTATGGCACAGTTTTAAACTGAACTCAAATACAATGATATTAATTTTTTAATAAATAGGTACAGTAGCTGAAAATGCCCCAGTCATACCCATATCAGCTCAACTCAAATATAACATCGAAGTTATCTGTGAATTCATAGTCAAAAAAATACCCATACCCTTACGTGATTTTACTTCGGACCCCAAATTGATCAGTTTTCTTTTTAATATTTTATAATTTAATAATATTTTTGACAAGGTTTGTTCAATCAATCATACCATTCATTTAATTAAACTACCCAATCGTTTTAATAATTTACAAAGCTTCCATACCAGCGTGGTTTATTTAATATCTTATGTTTAAGAAAATATTTATGATGTGATGCAGTGGTATTTCTTTTGTAATAAATAAATGGATTGCCACATATACTCTTTATTTTACGATAAAATGAATGTGATACTCGTTATTTTAAAAAGTTTAAATACAAGGGTATAAATACTTATGTTTATATATTTTATAATCTTGTTTGGATAAAATTATGGAAAAAGTTGTAAATGTTCAAAGATGAAACGGGAAAGAGCATGAAAAACGACTGAAATTAAATTATTAATGTATAAATAAATTTGGAATGTTGAGTTAAATTTTGCGCAATAAATGCTCTATATCTAAAAAATCGTTTTACTGTTTTTTGTTAAACGTTTGACAAATAGGACTATATCTTACCGTTTAACTTCTTTTTCTAAATCGAAAAATTTTTATATATATTGTTTTAAATCTTTATTCAATTTAAAGTAATAAGATCATTTGACGTAAACAAGCCTGGTGCAGAGGTTGACGAATTGAAAGGAGGCGTGGCTGGTGGAAGTATACTCAAAGGAGTTTTAAAGGTTTGGATTATCAAATTTTTATAAAATTATTCATTTTTTTATCCGGATATCCCGTAATACTGGATGGACAGGTCCGCGTCCAGACCCATGTTGAGTCGAAGTAGCACGTGTTTTATTTTTTTTAAAATCAGATGGACTCCACAGCAAAGAAAATATAGATAAAATTTTCTTTTGAAAGGTCCGAACCGCCTAAAACATGTTGAATGCATGGAGTATATACCATGACCATTTTTATCCTACCCCCCTTCCCCTTCATTTAAACCAATCATCAGTTTCATCCAAAAAAGAATCTGCAGTTGTGAGATCTCATCAAGTTTACTATACATATTTTTTAACCAATATCCTTTTGATATTAAGGTAGGACAAGAGATAGAAATAAGACCGGGCATCGTTTCAAAGGATATAGAAGGTCGACTGACATGCAAGCCCATTCATTCTAGAATAGTCTCTCTGTTTGCTGAAAAAAATGACCTTCAATATGCCGTTCCAGGGGGGTTGATAGGTTATAAAAATGATAAATAAATGCATCGACATATTAAGATATAAATCAGAGACCGACAGAAATACCATTTGCATGGCCCGGCCCGAGATTTTTTTTAAACAATTTTTTTTGGCCAGGCCTCGCCCGGGTTTTATATTTCCAGGTCCAGCCCAGATTTTTTTAAATATATTACATTTATTTTTGATTTTTTAACTAATAATGGCGATTTAAAATTTTGGTTTTAAAATATACAGCCCACAGCCTGGATATTTTTTTAAAAAATTTTCAGGCCCGGTCCAGGTATTTTTTAAAAAAATTTCAGACATGGGCCGGGCTTAGGGCCGGGCCTGCAGGTCTCTGATATTAATATACCAAAATGAGTCGAGTAAAGAAAAACTATTTTGTAAAATAAGGAAATAAAAATTTATTCATTCATCTTTAAATAAAATTTAATCACCATATTTAGGTATAGGCACACTGATAGACCCAACCCTATGTCGGGCTGACCGAATGGTAGGCCAAGTACTCGGTGGTGTCGGGGCTTTGCCCAATATCTACACTGAACTAGAGATATCTTGCTTCCTCCTCAAACGTTTGCTGGGCGTAAGAACGGAAGGGGATAAAAAAGCTGCTAAAGTTACTTATTATATTTAATATATGAATGTATAGTCAGAGTTTGGAACTCTCGGAACAGAGACAAATCTACAAACTGGAACCAAAACCTGTAAAATCCCCCTTTTAAAATTTATACTAAACCCATTTTAAAATTACCAGAAACCGATCCAGAACCAGTTCTATACAAAAGTGCAAGTAGTTTATATACATTCAAAATTTTGTGTGGTTCATTTTTAAGTGTCTTTATTTATTTAAATTTGTTTCATTGCTTTAACAGAATTTCGAATTAGAACTTGGCATTCTCAAAACCGCATCAAATCTAAAAACTGGAATAAGATCTCCATTTTCGAATATTTAGGAACCATAACCACCCCTTACTTTAGTTTTTTTTTAAATTTAAATGATGTCCGATTGTGATTTGTTTAATATTTCTATATCCTTTTCTTCTTGCAAAAACAAAAAAATTTCATTTTACTTTTCTTTCATATTGATTTGATTTTTTTAAAAAACTTTTACAAATACAAATTTTCTTCTTTCAAAAACAAAAAATCCCATTTTTTAACTTTTTGTTTATAATGATTTGATTTTTTAAAAAACTTTTACAATTACAAATAAATTGAATTTTTGTACAACTTTTTATTAGGAAATTATGTAAAAAATAAAAAAATATTATTAGGTTTCTCGGTCTCATAGCTTTTTTTCCCCATATGTTTTATGTCTTTTATTATTCGAGATGATACACCTTAAATGTGTATCTTCGCCACGAGCTTGATATCACCTGATTGACTGATATCTTCTTCCAAACTTAGGTTTTAGATATCTCTATAGTCATGCTGTTCTTAACCCCTCACCTAATCCCTTTGGAAATTATGGCTACTTTGACCTTTTCGAGAATGCATTGAATACCACTGAACTTGCATTCTCTGTTAAGTCTGACTATGCCTGTATGCCGTTACGTCTCTTCTTTGCTTTGCACGGCAGCGTAGAACTCCTAGAGTACGGTATTATTGGTCTTGGAGGGATATTGTAGTTTAAATTTGCCAAGAAGAGCGATGGGGTCCAAGAGGTCTGCTTCCGTACAGATTGCTCCAATGCTGCATTGTTGGGTGAGCTTGGCAAAAATAGAAGAGCCTTTTTTCTAATGAAAATCTTTTTGATGTCGAAGAAGCCTTGTGATTTCCCCATAAGGCACTTCATCGCTACTAAATTTTTGGAAATCAAGCTTGACAAACTCGGTTGTGTAAGTGGAGGTGTTCATTGCGTCCATCGCTAAAGAACTTTATTTGTATATAAGCGTTATGTCTGCTCCAAGAGAGAATGCATAGCAAGTTCAAAAATTATGTATAAATTTAGGATGAGAATTCCACGTAGGAGTGAATATGCATTACATAACTAAATGTTGATAATATTGTGCCATTAAGTAATAAAGGGAATTTGTAGTTTTTGGATCGATTTTTCAGATCAAATTTAATGATCATGAACATGATGTTGAATTATTTTTTCTTTAAATACTAAAAATTTTAACTTGATTTAATCAATCAAAATAAATTTAACAAAAAATATCTAAAAGTTAAATTTAAGTTAATAGATTTTTTTTTTTTTGATGACTTGAATTTTTTTAAATATTTAATACATTGAACGTTAAAAGTAAAATATATATACGTAATTTAAAAAAATATATATATTATAAATGTCATGTAAACTATAAAATCTATATAAAAAATTGTATAATAAAAAAAATAAAATAATTAGAATAGTAAATTGTATGTTGGGTGGGAGGAGGTCAAGAAAGAGAGCCATGGATGGCAATGCAGTTAGATCTGCATATATCAATAGATATGCGCTGTCTGAGATAGAAGCCTTCCTGAGGATCACCAGTGATGGCGCGGATTTTTTTACCAAGGGTTTTGAAGAAGGTTAGGGCATGATTGCCAAAAGACCCGGTTGTGTCGGATACGATTGGTATGAGATTGCAATTTGTTAGGGAAGTGTATTTATTAATTTTCGAGTTTTCAGCTCGCATGAATGAGTTCTTATTAAAGGAGGGAGCAAATCGGTCGATGCAGGTATAGTCCCATGCTAATGGAATTCCATTACTCCATGGTATTAATGTCAGCCCATCTGGACGTATATTATTCTCGGTTGAGAGGCTACAGGGTTCGAGGGTTGCTGGAATTTGAGCTGAGCGTAGAGCACGGAAAATGGTGCCATTAACTGCACTGTGTCGAGAATGTCTACCTTTAGAGAATCGACAATGAAGAGGATGGTGTCCAAAACAATCAACGGGTTGGGAACATAATGTACATATGGAGTTGGCCAGTATATTACAACCAAGACGGAGACCTATTGCTATGCGTAATTCTTCGTTTGTTAAGAGAAGTCCTAAGTTTGAGCTGGGCAAAGCTTTTAACCATTCATAGCCCGATAAGGAAGGCAAAAGTTGTGGAACTTGCATAAAAAAAGAAATAATAAAAAATCAATCGACAATAGAAATTCACGTTAAATCAAAATGTCATTAGAATATGAAATATCGACTACATTAACTTAATAAATTATATTTTTAAACATTTATTATAATCAAACAAGGTTCAAAAACTAAACAAAGGTGAGATTCTGATGGTGAATATCGGTTCGTTATCTACCGGAGGTAAAGTGAACGGAATTAAAGTCGATCTCGCAAGAATTGGTCTCACTCATCCAGTTTGCACGGAGATAGGCGAAAAGATAGCCCTAAGTCGCAGAATAGATAAACATTGGAGGTTTTTAAAAAAAATTATAATACCTTTCAAATCATTAAAAAAAATTGGATATAAACAAAGGTAGATTTTATTAGCCCCTTGTTTTTAACTATAATTAATTTATAAATTACAATTAATTTTTTTAATATCATTTATCTCATTTACAATTTTGTTTATAGATTAATAGTTTGCAAAACCTGCACAATTAATAAATTTATTAAAAATATTTTATATTTTTTAATTCCCTATATTTTAAAAAAATCGCGCTGATTTTGCAGAACAGTAATATAGATTCCAAATTTATTTTTAGATTAATAGGATGGGCAGAAATCCGTAGAGGCGTTGTGATTCAACCATTGCCTTCTGACTGAACTAATATTTATATACATTTATTATAAAGATTTTCAAAAAAAAATTTGTTTTCGGTTTTTACATATTACAATGATGGACGAAAAAGCTATTTAATATAAATAAACCATAAATTATGTGCTAGTGAAAATTTTAAATAAAATGTATTTTATTTTGTACTAGACCTTTATTCAGCGTTTCGACTACTTAAGGGGGAGGGACATTTGTTTCTAGTTTTTTGAAGGGGGTTACGCACCATCTAAGGTGAGGTGGGGAAGGGGCAGAGTAGTAGGACAGTTAAAAATTAGATTAAGGGCAAAAGGATTCTAATATGAACAGATATTTATTTCACTCCTAATGTGGATAAATTATAAATCATTCATTCACACATAAATTTTAACATGATTTGACTTTATACATGCTCGGGAATTTTTATATCACACGGGGTAGTACTAACAACGAATTTATTATCAACAACAACCAATTTATTTGTATTCATATCCTAAATTATGCCTCATTCTATTGGATGAAGCTTATAAATAGTGGTTCAATTTCTTTATCATACTTCATCGTTTAACTATAGTATAATTGCTAGAAGAATAACAATTTTCTGCCATGTAGATGTAGGCGCTACTTTTATTTAATCATTGGCATATATTGGAGATAGTTTTAATCATATTTTCTAAATTATGTAGAAAGAAATTATTATATAAAAACATAATACTTATGTTGGCATTACTAAACTATATGAAATGACGCAAAAGGCTTGACAAATTTTTAACTAACTAAAAAGTATCCCTAAAATTGTTAGCCACCCAAGATGATAGAAAAGCACGCAAAATATGAAAAAAGCATGCTCGGTTCAGTTCCAACGACTTCCTTAGGCACAAAAAAAATTGAGCACCACGAGAATTTTTTTAAAGTAAAATTATATATAAATAGTAACTTAAATCAATTTTAAAAAAGGATTTAAGAAATTATATTATAAAATATAAATAAAAATTAAAAAGTTAAGAAAATATGCAAATTTTTTTTTACAAGGAATTTGAAAATTAGTATATTGCGAATATTTTTTTGCTCTATTTTGAATAAAAAACATTAAATTATGTAAAAGAAATTTAATGAAAGATCACCCTGCATTTTATCACATTTGCAAATAAGCTTTTTTCCCTCTAGAAAAATTTCCTGCAGAGGTCAATGATTATTCGGTAAAAGAATTATTCAATGATTTCTATATTACGATTCCCTTTCTAGTCCTATTTTTATCTACAAGTTTCATTATTAGTGCTACACTCCACATTAAATCACAATAACCCCCACAATTATTATTGATGTTAGAATACAATTATTTCAATAACAACGGCTAGAGTAGGAAGACAAAATTTGGTGCTTATTTAATACTCTGCATTGCTTATATGCCAATATTGTGTTTTTCTTTTTATAGTAAGATCATTAGATTTTTAAAGGGTGGAGGGAGGGAGGTTAATTAAAAAGCAAAAAAGGAAATTATATCTGCAATAGGTTTAAAAATAAGAAGGAAATTTATAAAATTTGCAGAAGGTAATCTTTTCATAAAATAAATTGGAAAGAAGCCACCAACAATTATTGTTTAATATTAACATGTTTATAATTATATTTTCAACTCATAGAATGGTAAAAATAACATTTATAAATAAAAGAAAATTATTATTTTAATTAATTTGGTGTTTTGGTAATTTTTGTTAAATCTAAAATGTTGTCAACATTAACGAATAATTTAGCAATTTTTAAAATTGTAATCTTTAAAGAAATTTAAAGTTCCAGCGCAGGCGCGTATGCAGGAATTTGGTCTGGGGGAGGGGATAATAAAATTTTTTAAGAAATATTATTGTTGTTAAAAATATCAAGCATAAATTTATTAGGACTAATAACTATTTCTAATACACAATTTTAAATTTATGTGAATTATAAAAAAATTATATGTAAAGAATCACTTAAATGACCCAAAATAAAAATTTGAATTTTTTGAGCCTTTACACAAAAAGTTTCTTAGCAATAATTGCATTTTATATGTTATATATTTACAATGTAAAATCCAATCTTCGTTGTGAATTGAGCTAATTTTTCAATTCTCATCCTTGTTTGTCGTCAAATGCCTATGAATACTCAAAAGATCCAAACCTTTCAATCTACTTTCAGATGTTGTACTTCTTGGTATGTTTTTCAGAGACCTGCAGGCCCGGCCCCCGGGCTTAACCATATTTTAATTTTTTAAAATATATCCGTGCCGGGCCCGAATTTTTTTTAAAAAAACACCCAAGCCGGGCCTGAAAATTTTATTTAAAAAAAGGCCGGGCCGGGCCTGAAATTTTTTTAAAAAAAGCCGAGTCGGGCCTAAAAATTTTTTAAAAAAAGCCGAGCCGGGCCGTAAAATATCTTTAAAAAAAATCCGGGCCGTGCCCTGCAAATGGTACTTCTGCAGGCCTCTTATTCTTCTTAAAAAAGAGAATGTTCTCTCATTAGTTTACTAATGGGAAGTGTTTATAAACCCTTTTAATACATTGGGAATTTAATCTAAAATGTTTTTGAAATAATGCAGAGCATCCATAGCATTTTTTGGGACTATATCAACCATTGTTAATCTTATAAACATAGTTATTCAGCTATTAAGGCATCATAAGATACTTTAACATCTTCATAATAAAATTTTTTTTTCTATCATCATCTGAAAAAGGTTGGGAAGGCTTTTGTGGAAGTAATATTTGCAGATTAGTAAGTGCTGCATGATGAATTAAAAATTCATTTATTTGGGTTATAAATTTATCTGTATTTAAGATATACTCTTCTACTGATCCTATATTAATGTTTTAACGATGAGCTTGCCTTGCTGCAAGTCAAGGGAGACAAATATTAAACACGTATAGCTTTGTTTTTGACTCAACAATAAAATATGAAATTCTTCATCAACATTAGCCCTAATTTCCTTGAGTTCTGATAAAATGCTCTCCGCTATTCTCATCTTCTTAATCAAGTCATTGTCATGTTTTTGAAAAGTAATACTTAAAATAGTTGTATAATTAAATAATACATTCTAATGAGAAATAAAATTTGGAATAAGCATTGATTACATCCAATAATTTTCTTGCTTCTGAGGAAATATTTCTTTCAGGCCAATGTGATATTTCAGTAATAGCAAATAATTGGCTCTGCTAACTCCTTAAAAGCTGTTACTGCTTGATGGCAGAGACTCTATCTCGTTGGATAAGATTGCAATTTCTTTTCCCTGTTGGACAAGAAGTTTCAGAAATAATATTTATTTGACTAGAAATTTGAAAATGGTAGATAAATATTACGTCACTAAAAATTTGAAAATAATAAGTAAATATTACGCCGGAAAATTTGAAATCAAAATTAATCGATAAAATAACTTAGTAGATAAATGTGATAATACATGTAATTAAATATATATTTAATATGAGATAGGAATAAATATTAACAAATATAAATTAATATAAACAATAATATTTTTGAAAAATATATCCGGCATCTGCATTTTTTGGCTTTGGGGGGGGGGGGGGGTAGGAAGGAATTTGCCCCCCCCCAGCTGCGTACGCCAATGTTCCAGCGCTATATATCAACCCAAGCTGTATTTTCCTTGCTATGGTTTCTTAAAAAAATCAATAATAAACTTTCCTTGACGATCGCTGCATCATCTTTTAATTCAGATGGGGCTCCAGGATCAAATTTACTGCATTTGTAGGAAATCGTATGATGGCAGTAGTTTTATGATAGAATGCGATTCTTGTAAAGAATGGTTTCATGGAAGGTTAACTATTTGTAAGAACTAATAATTTTACATCGGATTTTGGAGTAGATGTGTAGAAATAGATGAAGCACAAGCAGCTGTTATGGATAACTATATTTGCCCTAACTGTAAAAGGATACATGGCTCGCCTAGATGTATATATAATTTTAATTATATAGAGATAATTATTATTTTAATAAACAAATTTCCAGGTGATGCTGATGTTTTTAGAGAGATTTATAAAGCTGGTACTCCAAAATTTATAAAAATGATTAAATCCAAAAAATTCCTAAGGTATGGTTAATTTTCTTAGTTATCTTATGCCATTATTTAAGTATTAAAAAAATTATCGAAATATATATATATATTGTATCCTATAAGCATCTTATTTTATTTTTAGTTCAAAAACAATTATGTGGTATATGACAGGCCAAGAATTAAATATGTCTCATTTTGTTTCACATGGGTTTAACAATCCAATTTTTGTGGAAAAGAAGGAAAATATAGGTCTTAAGCTTCCTCCCCATGATTTTAATGTCAATGACTTAATGCGTTACATAGGTGAACTATTTTTAAAAAAATAAATGTTTAAAAAACAATTATTTTACATAATATAATTGTTAAAGATAGACTTTCTACATCAAGCTTGATTTAGATTTTAAAAAAATATTAGATCATCATAATAAGTTTAGAATAATGTATGTTGAAATGCCAAATAAAAAAACTAATTCAAATATATTGATGGATCTTAGCAACCAAGCTTGCATAATACTATCTTCTTAACAAAACCTTCATATAATTTGATATTTTAAGTCAATAAGATAATTCAGTACTATTTTTTAAAAAAAGGCTTAAGTGTATGATTAGGTATAAGATACACAGTGAATGGCTAGTGGTTTGATGTAGTTGGTAGTGATTTAACAGTTAGAAATTGGAAGGATTGGTATAGATAATATTTTTGGTTAAAGTTTAAATTATTTTATTATATTATACAAGTTTCTACCATTTTTTTAACAATAATTTTAATTTTCTCCTTAAATATTTTTAAAATCAAAAAATTATTATTTATTTTTTTGATTAATTGAATATTTTATAATGCAATCCTTTAAGCATATATATATATATGTTAGTGTCAATGTGATTTTTCTGGCAATGTGTTATTTTTACAACTTTAAATCATTTTTGAGTGTGTTTTTTTTAAATTTAGAAATCAGATTCTACTGGAAATATATTCTATCATGTTTGGAATACCTATCTTAAAAATTGTAAACAATTCTACCATTAACCTTGAGTATTTTATAATTTATATAAAACATATATGTAAAATGTAATATAAATTATATTAAGTTTAAAAATTCATGTTAAAATTGTCTGAAATTCATAGGGTGGGTATTCCAAACATGACAGAATATATTTCTGGCAAGATAGAAATTTTAATTGTTTATAAATGCACTCAAAAAATGATTTAAAGTTGGAAAAAATAACACCTTGATGTTTTCATATATACTCTTCTTTTGAAATTCTTATTTTCTCGAAACATTTCCTAATTATGAATCAAACAATGCCTTTTAATTCAATAGGATATCTAAATTAGTGATCTGCATTGCTTAATTTTTCAAGCTCGGCTGGGCCTAAAAATTTTTCTAAAAAAGTTTTGCCCAACCTGAACCTGAAATTTTTTAAAATAAGTTTTACCAGCCCAGCCCGAATTTATTTAAATATAGATATTAATTTTTATAATTACTAAAAATAAACGATATATGTTATTTGGGGTCTAGTTTTTATAAATAAAATAAAATATTTTTATTTTACATAAAAAATTCAACATAATAAAATTGATTAAGTTAGATATATTTAAAAAAAATTTCTAAGGCCTGACCCGGCCAAATTTTCTTAAAAAATATAAGGCCCGACCCAGCTGTGGGCCGGGCGAAAATAAGTTTTGCTGGCCCAGCCCACCCGAATTTTTAAATATAGAAATTAATTTTTTTTAAAAAATTTTAATTTTTTTTAAATTATCATACCTAAAATAAATGATATGTCATATGGCGTCTAGTTTCTTCAAATAAAATTAAAATTAAAACCTTTTTTGGTATAATATGATTCGAAATAAAATTGATTTAGATATAAAAAAATTTCATCTACCCGATTCGACCCGATTTTTAAAAAAATAATAGGCCCGAACTAACCTGAACCAATTTAAAAAAAATAGGGCCGGGCCTACTTTTACAGACCTCTAATCTGAACCATAAAACTTCAAATAAAAGTTTAAAAAAATTAAAAAAGAACAAATGTATTTTACAACAATTTTATTTTGTATGCCCCTTTTTTTCTGCACATTATTTTCAAAAATCATGAGCACGTACATAAAATTCGCTTTTAGACGAATCACCAAAAATAAACTGCTGACTTAAAAAAATGTTCAATATATTATTTGAAGATTAAATATCACAGTTAAAAACTATTTCGGAGAATTATAAAGATAATAAAAGAAAAATGTATATACAACTCTGAAATTTCTTTAATGGGAATTTGTCAAAATCCACTTGTAATAAAAGGATTTATAAACGAATTTTATAAGATAAAGATTAAGATTATTTTAATTATTAAATCTTTTTCATGGAGTCAAAGAAAACCCACAATTAACATATCCTCGGAAAATACTCAATTTTGGTAATTAGCTCGGAATTAGACTTCTGAGAATCTACTGATTTTTAGGGATGAACGCTGATTAGTGATAGGTTATATTAACTATAATAATTCAGTATCGCATGAAATTAAGCTTTTCTCTCCGATTTGAAATTCCCAATGAAATAAGTATTAGGTTTGCATGATTGAAAAGAATTAAATAGATTTGGGTTTTTTGATGGTATTGTTAATTCTCAAACTCACTCAGCAGTTTATCTATTCAATTAGTATTCTCATACATTTTACAGGAAAATGGAAACAATTTTCACAGAAAATGTAGATGATAGAATAAAAGTTTTAGACCCTGATTAAGTTACGAACTCAAAACCAATAGAATATAGAAAGAGTATCCTGATATTGTCTTATTACAAAGGCATATTTGCTAAATGATAATGAATATGCATAAAATTGCAACAGAATCACTTATAAATCTTTATTCCAAGTAGAATAATGCTGGCCATTTAAGCAAAGGGTGTCCTGGAAAGATGATTTATGTGAGAAAATTTTTAAACGACTGGGGAGTAATAAAAATTATATGCCAATTGGGGTAGTAAATACTAAATACATAGTACTTGGTGATTAATTTTACATATATATGAATAAATATTATTTGCATTGTTTCTAATATGAATCAAAATTTTATAATATGAATTTGCATTAGAGGTTTGCATTGGTCCGATTTTTCTCCCGCACGCCGACGTCCATCCATCTTTGGAAGGGCATGGTCGGGTTTTCTATATTTTCAACATTTGACGGGTGGCGGGCGGGTTAAAAAATTTAAATTAATGGCCTGGCGTGGGCGGGTGAATTTTTGATATTTTTCAGGCTAAATGAGTAGAACAGATTTCAATTTATTAAAAATAATAGTTTTATTTCATAATATTGCATATTATATGTTTAATTAAAAATACATTAAAATGAATGAATAAATAACCAAACCGGCCATTAAAATAATTTTTTAACATTAGGCGGGTAGGTGGGTTAAACAAAATTTATAGATAAATAAAGGGGCTGGCGGGTAAATTTTTTTAAAAAAATTATAAGTGGGCGGACTTTTTAGCTAAAAACTCGCCCATTGTAGACCTCTAAGATACATAGCTTTATTTAATCTTAATGTCACTTTTAAAAATTTTAGTAGCTATTTTCAAAAAATATTAATAAGTCCGGCCCGAGTCAACCCATGAGAATTTTTGCACAAATTGTCTGACCCGTTAAATGTTTTGCTCGGTCCTTTATATTTTTTAAAAAAACAATTCGGTCCGAACTTTGCAAATCTCTATAGTGTCTATATAGGACTATCTAGATTGGGAAAAATCACTATGATTTAGAAAAAAGATCATGCGATTAAAAAAAGCTACATAATTACGTCGTCGTCATTTATTCTTATGTCCTGCTCAGAATGCTTTATCACTCTTTTCATCCCGTAGCGCAATGGTCTAAGCACTTTTTAGAGCTGTGCCGATATTAAATATCGGATCGGATTAGCACAGATATCTCGAGTTTTCCAAAAATATCGGATCGGGCCGATACCTGTAAAAACCGATCCGATCTTTCCATTTTTCTTTTTTTGTTATTTTATGTATATTTATTTTACATTAATAATATTTTCCAAATAATTTTTTTTTAAACAATGCAAATGCACAACATCTCTTAAATTTTATTTATTTTTTAAAATAGATTTATATTATTTAAAAGTTTTTTTATAAAAATAGAAAGGAACACCCAATTATTTATTTTAAATCTTTTTAAATAATGCCAATTTTATTACTATAAATCAGGAACGAGAACACAAACTCTGAACCTATACCCTCAATGTTTCGCTGAACCCAAAAAATTTAAGGTTCAGGGTCCAAAGCTTTTTTTTAAATTTTAAAATTTATATATTAATTTTAAAAAACATTTTTTGATCATTTTTTCTTGTAATAATTTTTGTTATATTTAGTAAATTTTTAAATTGTATTGTAGTATTATAATATAATTATGATGATAAATTATTTTTATGGTGATACTAATTAAAATAAATTTTTTTAAAAAATGATGTTTAATAAGTCATTATTTTTTTGGTCTCCAGACCCTGAACCCCGGGTTCATAGATTTTTCACTGAACCCAAACCCATTTTTTTTAGAAGGAGGGTTCTCGTCCCTGCTTTAAATAAAATATTTTTTTTAAATATGTTATCTGAATTATTGAAATATTTTACAAAAGACAAAGATAATTTTGCAAAATGCGTTATCTGCGGAATTGTAATTTCACGAGGAGGAATAATGAAAAATTCATTTAATACAACCAATATTTTTTAAAATTATATTAGAAATAAAAAAATTAAATTAATTGCATATAGAGGTGGGCGCGGGCTTAATTTTTCATTCAGGCCAGCCCGCTCACGGTGGTATTAAAAAAATTCACGCCCATTCACGCTTACCACTAAAAAATTTTCGACCCGACCCACCCGCTCACGAAAAGCAATATTTTGATTCACGCCCGTCACGCCCGAAAATTTACGGTGTTTTTAAATTTTTCAAAACTATTACTATAATTTTACACTTTTTTGAATTCATTCTATTTATTTTCTAAACAAAAAATAAATACAAGCTATAAATCGAAATTATTAAGGAAAAGAAGAATGTCCATCTTTTTTTATTTCAATTGTGTACGTCTTTCCTCTAATAAAAGATTTGCTACAGAAAATAACCTTTCACTAGAAGCCGAACTTGCAGCTGACAAAATTTTACTCTATAATTTTCTCAAAAAAGGAAATGAATATTCCTGCTTCCAAAACTTCAAAATATTGTCTTGTTATTTAACTTATATGAATCTTTTAAGTTCATCCTCACAGCTTTCATCGGTGATGTTGATGCTTCATCAGAATCAT